CGCCTGGGGCCAGCTCTCCCGCCGTGGTGTCTCTCCGCGAGGTCCGAGCGCAGGTCGTGGCAGAGGCTCATTCCCACGGCCTGTCCCGACCAGGACAAACATCCTTCCCGTCGCTCTCCAGTAGCCCGTGCCTGGTGGGACCCCAAGGGCTCGACCTCCAGGTCCCCGCAAGCGGCACGTGATAAGAAATGCCCAGGCCGGGGAAGAGCCAGCCGTGACCCAACCTGGGCTGTGCTGGCAGGTGAGCACCCACGCGGGAGTCTGCCCACCCGGGAAGCAGGGGCGGCGGTGAGTCCTAAGGAGACATTCACCCGCCACCGGCAGGCAGAGGGAGCTGGGACGTACATCCAAGGAGGGAGCCTGGTGTGGTCCCTGCGGTCCCCTGCAGAAGGGCTGAGGAAGAAGAGGACGGGGGGGAGGAAGAAGAGGAGAGAGGGGCAGGGGAAGAGCTGGCTCAGGGCATTTAGATGTGCTCAGGAGGAGCCTAGAGCTTCTGCTGCAGGGCCTGCAGCCTGCCCAGCTCCAGCCCATCCAGGTCAGGGAACCCATCCACACCTGGGAGCTCAGAGCTGAGGCAGCCTCCGGCCACAGGCTCCAGGGACCGGGCTGTGGCAGGGGGCACGTTTGGCCTGTTGAACATCTCTTGCCTCACGTTCAACAGGCTGCAAAGACAGATGCCAAGAAAACAGGTTGCTGTAGCAGTGGGACTGTCTCCGAGCATCATGTCCCGGATCTGCCACAGAGCAAGTGGCGTACGTGTGTCTTGAGCCACATCTGTAGACCAAGCGACTGCCAGCTGCTCCAGGGCAGCCACAGCCTGGCTTTCGAGGACGCCACTGAGAACAGAGCAGGGGAAGCGAGCAAAGAGCAGCACAAGAGAGTCCCTGTAGGAACTGGCCTTGCTCAGCCCTGAAGCTGCCAGCTTCCCACCAGGCTCTCCACCATCTCCCATAGCAGCCTGGGGAGCCCTTCTGGATGTTGCACATCATTGCATGCAAGAGCTTTAGGGCCATGGTCTGCGGTAACGTTGGAACTGGCCCACAGCCCACAAGTCTTGTTTTTTCCAGGATGAGACAAACTACATACCCTGAGCTGGCACGTATGGGGTGTCTGAGGGTTCAAAGCCAGTTAGGATAGTGCTGGAGCAGTGTGTGATGGGGAGGAGGGGTTCTCCTTTTTTGGGAGCCAGGCTCATCCCTTGCTGAGCTCCCACTGGCAGGCTGAAGCAGAAGTTTGGACAGGATCCCAGGGGAGCTCAGGGAATATTTTGGCCCCTTTTGAGGCTGGCCATCGCTGGATGCTAAATCCCTTTCCAAGATCCTCTGAACAGACACAGACTGCTCATTGCTCTGTGTTTTATTTCCAGAGAGACTTGTAGCACACGGGGAGGCCCTGCCACACGGCAGCTATGCGGCAGCACCCTGCTGCGGCAGGTCTGGGCTGAAGGATGGTGGAGGGGAAGAGGCTGACGCCACGCTCTTGCCACCACCCCAGAAATATTCTTCTGGGGTTTTGCAGCCAGAGAGGGGCTCTGAGTAGTCATAGCTTTCCTGTGCCTGGCACACATGGTGCACCACACACTGTCACGAGCACAGGAGACCGTGCCCAGAGTGAGAACAACATCCATGGTGAGGAAGAGGACAGGAGAGAGGCAGGAAGGGGAGAAGAGGATGAACTGAGAAGGTAAGGGCTTGGAGGGAAGGTGGAGCTGGAGCTGAGTTATCCCAAGAGCGGTGAGTGCCAGCTCAAGCCGTGGGTAAGTATTCTCCACGGCAGCTCTCAGTCCATGGGGCTGGGAATTTGCATCGTCGGACTGGCTCCAGCCAGGCAAGGTGGGCTCTGGGCAGGTCCAGCACAAACTGCTACAGCTGCTCCTGGGCCAGAGTCACTGGTCTAGCAGGCTCCGTCCACCTGAAAAAGAACCCTGTGGGTTCAGCACCAGCTGGAGAACCCTTCCCCCAGCAGAGCCCCGAGGGCCAGGGAATCACAACCAGCACCGAGAACATCTCCTAGAGATGGGCCGACATCCGCGTGCTCTTTGAACGCCTCTGCGAGTAAGCTGCAGGGGGTAACTTTAACTCTCATGAGGCTCTGCCTCCCTCTCCTGCCCTTTCCCAGCTCTAGGAATGAGAGCCACGGCCAGGGTGGCAGCACCTACCATAGGCTAAAACTGAGCTGGGGCTGGAGCAGACCCCAGTTGGTCTATGAGCTCTGGATCAGCTGGCAGGTGCTATTTGGCTTCCTTAACCCCTGCCCAGACTTGACCATCCAGACACCTTTGTGGGCTGGACCTACATTTCTCCCACCAAACTGTGGTGCAGCACTTGAAAGCTCTTAGGGCTGCTCCAGGGCCTTTGGTAACTGCTGTTCCCAGCAGCACCAGGAGTCCTTCTCCAGCCACTGCCCAACATGGTGCGGTCAGCCTGGGGTACTGGGGAAGTTCACGAGACCTCAAAATAGGTGATACGGGGAGAAAACTGTGAAGGATCAGAGATGAGGGCAGGATGCAGAAAGCTTCTGGGAGCAGAGAGCCATGGGGAGAGTCTGGGAGCCTGCAGGACCAGGCCCTTCCCAGAAGTGGTCTCATGCCTCCCACCTGCTCTCCAGCACGCCAGAGCCCATGGCCTCCCTGCGGAGATCCCCTGGGAGTGGAGGGCAGGGGTCCCAGCACCCCACCCAACTCCTACCAGCACCTGCTCCTGTTTGCTGTTCAGTTCCAAGGTGTCCTCCGTGCTTGGCAGGTCCCAAAGCTTCCTCATCCTAGGCAGGAGGAAGGGGAGCGAAAGAAGAGCGGGGTGGTTAATCATTAAAAAAGGGCATTTGAGGAGCAGAGGAAAGCCCAGCTGGAGCTGGCACCTGCTACAGGGCAACCTCCGGCCACGGGGCAGCAGCGAACCCGACGCCGCGGGGCAGACCCAGGAGGCGAGCCCCTGCGCGAGGGC